CGTGTCAACCGTGCAGACTCTGCACTGAACACATTGGCAGGGTCTGCACTGCAGTTCCTGCCAATTATCGGTCAATCTCAATTACCTCCATACTATGCAAGATTATGGAGCGTATATTGAAAGCCCGCTTTATGGCATACTTAGAATAGAATGACCTCATCAGTGACCGGCAACACGGGTTTCGCCAAAATCGATTAGCTGGGGACCTAGCGAATACCACACATGTATGGAGCGAGGCATTCGAGGACAGTGGGGACGCAGTTTTTCACTTGATGTCGTGAAGGTCTTTGACAGAGTTTGGCACGTTAGCCTTTTGGATAATCTTTCAGCGTACGGTTTATCCCCTGATCTGATTGACTGCGTGAAGCACTTTCTGAGTGAACGGTCTCTCCAGGTCGACGTTGATGGTATGAATGGTAGAGCGTGTGAATCTCACACTACAGGCAGTCTACAAATGGGGCGATGCCAATCTTGTGAAATTCAACGTCTCCAAAACACAAGCGTGTCTCTTCACTGCTAACAGGAGCCAGCTCACCTTGGCTCCTTCTTTCCGAAATGTGTCACTGGAACACACCGACCGCCTTCAGTTGTTGGGGGTTGAGATATCCTCAAATCTGAGTCCAAGGCCAAAGCAACTGCAAGGAAGCTAACTTTATGTAAAGCGCAAGTGCGCTCGTGCTTGGATTATCGCTGCCATATATGGGCTGGTGCTGCAAAATGCCACCTAGCAATCTTGGGCTCAATGGAAAGGCGTGTTAAGAAGCTTATTGGTGACACGAATTTAGCTAAAACCAATCTTACCAATCTCGAACACAAGCGCAAATTAGCCAGCCTTTCGGTTTTCTACGGATGCATTTCGGAGTGTGCGCAGGGATTGCATAATTTAATTCTTCCCTCTTCGTTCCTGTCCTTCCATCGGACAACCAGACGTTCCTCCAATCTCCACCCTTTCGGTGTTGACTTCCCACGCGTTCGAACCAAACGATTTGCTACGTCGTTCATCATGCGTACAGCAAAGGAGTGGAATAAGTTGCCAGCATCTGCCTTTCCATCCAATTACAGTGTGGGTGTCTTCAAGGCAATAGTGAATAAGCTTTTGTTAAGTCAGTGCGCTTCACTTTCTTAGGCTACACCACCATTTTCCATCAGGTGGGATTGTATATAGTTCAGCGCTGGCTTAGAATAAAAAAAAGGAGAACCATCTATACAGACATACATACATAGAATGTTAAGTACAGAACCATTTCTTTGAATCGTCATAATTGTTTAAAAATATAGGTTGAAAGTGACAAACCGTGGGATCGCTAGTATGGTACCTTTGCCAAGTCAATTTTATAGAAAAATGTTAAGATTACCACATGAAAAACGAAATATTACATTTCCTAACCATTATTATGCCGTTACTACAAAGATATAGAAGAAACTAAAAGATATAGAAGATATAGACCTACATTCAGTATTTCAAACAAAATCACACACGTTCTAGAGCAATGAACTTGGGGTTAAAATCGCCGGCACTATTCCACGTTGAAATACAATGCCAAAAAAAACTTTCAACTAGCCATAACGAAAACAATGCTGGTAATTATTTACTAAATTTTCATACAAAAAATGCCATATCTAGAAAAACGTTACATTGTCCGTATTAATCGTAATTTTGTATCTGTACATGGCAAAGTAACTTCTAGTGGTAAAGTTGCCAGACTTGACTGTACCTCATTTTTCTTTGGATTAATTATAACTGAGCTCACTGATTCGAGTATGAGGGCTTGGGTAAAAAAAATGTAAACTGTATGGTGTAAGCAGACCAATTTTTAATAAACCAATGATATTTACATTATAAAGGTACATTTTAAGTAACTAGTTTATTTTTGTCACAGTTGTTTACACAAGTTAGGTGTAATAATTTACTAATTGCGGTATGTAATAGGCAACAAGCATTATTGGAAACTACGTCCACACTTATTTTTATTGCAAATCTATATATGTGTGTGTATTGTCACATCACAGATCGCAAACGCTCCATTCACTTGGATTCACGTAAAGGATCCTAAAATAATAATATTTTCTATGCATCTTCGATCCGCCAAGGTTGGGATCAAAAATAGTAACAATACTGTGCGGGCTTTTAAATAATACTGCGAAGTGCAGGAAGAGGCGTGCGCACGTGGTGACGTTTGGTCGCTCGATTAGTTTATGGTTAGTTGATTAGGGAACAGAGCGCGTTTGTTATTATCGTTCCTATATTACATTAAATTTAATCAAAGTTTTGATTTAATTCAATGTATTATTGTAATAGGTTTGAAAAAATATGTCCAATATTGCCAATTAGACGTCAAAGCCAAACGCGGACTTCACGGACATACAAAGAATAGTGAAACTCTTCGAGCGCATCCGGAACTCTGAACTCGTAGGCGTTCAGACTTGTGGGATTGCTCGTACAAGCTTAAGGCAATATAAAACTTCATCCTTCTTCTCTCATCTTTAATATTTGAGATGCTCTTTAATTATGAAAACATCTCATTTTAGACGAGGCGCATTTTCATAATAATGGTTTTCTTAATAAGCAAAATTGCCAACACTAGAGTACGAAGCAGCCGTTATTGAGACATCGGAAACCACTTCAATGGCAAAAAGTTACAGAGTAGGCAGCAATATCAGCTAGAGGTTTAATCGGACGGACCTTTTTTCTTTGAGAATTATTCGGAATGTTATGAGCATATTTCTCTGGAGAACATGTAAAAGATCTTTTTTTCATCTTTAAAAAATAAAATTATAAATTTCTTTCTTCCCGTCAGTCTCGTTTTTTTTTAAGTTATTTCAAAAATGATTTTCGGCGAAAAACGATTTGATATTCAATTTCGATTTTTACCTTTGTACATGTTGAAAAATACTTGTAAAGGTACAGAATTGCTGGCTAAACACTAAACCAATTTTGGTGATATATTTTTTAATCATGAGAATAAATATTTTAATTTGGGGATTATATTATAAATAATAAATTATGATTTCTATCTAATTTAACATCAGAAGTGCTCGGATAGTGTAAATAAACAGGAGACTTTCTAATTCTTACTACAAAAATATTTAATGTATTATTGTAGTACACTTTTCACACGGTTGGACTTGTACTCAGTAGTACCACAGAAATTTACCCCATTATATCTAGCCAAATTGTGCTGTAGAGAACTACAATTCATCACAACTCAACCAGTTGGGTCTCGTGGTTGCGCTGTGGATCAAGTCACGGCTCCAGCCGGCGAAAGCTGTGGAAGAGCCTTTATTTGGTTAATGACAAGATTCTTTCGACCTATTTTGAATTACCTATGGATCGAAGAGAAAAAAAGTTAATCTTAAGTAGGATTAAAGGAGAACATAATTATCATGGATCTACCTGTGGAGTATAATTGTGGATCTAAGTAAATAGAGCATCCGCAAGAATTAAGTGTAGTTGGATGTGAAGATTTTATATCGTATTATAGCAGATAAAGATTACAATTTAATCGTAGATTATTAATTTATTACAAAATAATATTATAATAATACCGTTCGTACAAGCAATAAATTACAAAAGGCACGTTCATCTCCTATTATAAAGTTGAAACATCTAAAATATGAATTCTACATTTAATAAATATTTAAAATATAATTTTCTAATATTCGATGGCTGCAGGCTCAGGGATCTTGCTCTGTTGCGTTCCTTGAAGGAAGCCTGTGTTCAGTTGTGGACTTTGGAGGGGCTGTAATGATGAATATTGCTCAATTGGGTAGTTGACACCGCCACTCCTTAATTACAACTACATTATATGATGATTTCTTATATTTACGCGAACACTACATTTTAGACAATACTAGTTTTTACGAATTTTATCGCGTATATTTAACTTCCTATACGTGTACTAACTAACTATCCTGTACGTGTTCAAAGTCTATGAACACGTACAGGATCGCCCCCGTCACTACATCAGATTTGATAGACCACAAATCCTCGCTAAAGAACACCGATTCCTTCCAAAGATGATTCGCGAGGCTATTGAAATCAAAAAACATCCTAATTTAAATAGAGAAGATGGCTGGGTGCTACCATCTGCTTGGGATCCTATAATAAATAAAATTAAATCCCAACCCAAGCATACAACTCCAAGACTTCAAGACACTATAAGTTCGTACTGCATAAATCGGAGCAAAAATTAATAATATTAATCTATGGTAACCGCGGTTAACTATGACATCTAGACGTTTAACATCTCAGTCTCCCCCGTGACCATGGGTGCTGTAAAGTGCTCGAAACGTCGGGTATTTAAAAAGTTAAATATACGCGATAAAATCCGTAAAAACTAGTATTATTTACATTATATGATTTGAATTTTCTATTTTTAGTAGTTAAAACTATTTCAATTTTAATTAAAATTGAACTTTCAGTGTTTAAGATATGCCAATAAATGACAATTTGACTACAAAAATTATGAGGTTATTACACTATATTCTCAGACAATATCTTTAACAATTTTTGTTTTGACAACTGGTTAGTATTAAATACCCAATTTCGTCCCACTCGTTCTAACCCGTGTATAATGTGACACTTATAAAATCAGATCGAATAGGTAAAATAAGGTGCATTTTTAAAGACAGGGGCATAACAACTTAGCGTGTAGATTTATGTAAGACAACTTAACCTAGTGTTCTATAGTACTTACAAATAACAAAATATAATATCTATATTCTCAAAACAAAGAATATGGGTTAACTTTTATTAACTTTGATGACAGTGATAAGTTTACAGAACAAGCTAAGACCATATCTTTTTAATTACAGTTTTGGTTAAGAGTTGTAATTTCAGTAAATATGTATAAGCATTGCATTTCTATACGTGAATTGTTAGTTTTAAATTTACAAATTCAGCTTAAATTATAGTTGCATACATTAAAGCTTAAAGTCAGCAATATTAACAGATAATATAATAAATTAACAGCTAATAATTTTCATAATTTGTCATAAAATTACAAAATTTCCAAATCGCAATGTCGAATTTGTGGAAACTTTTTCTGAAAATATAAAAGCGAGAATTATTAACATGCAGTATAATTTTGTAAGAAAATAAATAATTATATAAAATCAAAATCTTACCCTTAGTTTTAGTTCTATTCTGTCAATCTCGCCGCCTAACATATCTACTATATTTTCACCATGTTTTAGTAGGAATGCTTCTACATCATCTATTGTCTCGATCTTTTTTATATCCTAAAAAGATAACATATTATTCAAAAAATGTGAATTAAGAAAAAATTGTCATTTTGTATATGGTAGTAGTAGATTCCCGCGACTTCGTCCGCGTGGACTTTATATTACTATTTTTTGGGTATTATTTTTTGACCCGGAACTCTAATTCTTTTTCTTTTTTATAGTAAAAAGTATCTTATGTTACTCTTTATACCATCAGCTATCTGCCAGTGAAAGTCCCGTCCAAATCGGTCCAGCCGTTTTGGAGATTAGCCAAAACAAACAGAGAGATAGACCAAAAATTTTAAAAGTTGTATTTTTGTTAACAGTACCGTACATATATACTTTCATATGCATTTAGTAAAAAGCTGTTATTTTGGCATTACAAACAGATCCTTCAATTTTATTTAACTAGATGTTAGGAATAATTCAACGACCCTGACTAAATCAACTCAAATATCTTCGAGAAATAAGAAAACTACTTTACAGCTAAATGCAAATTAAACATCTTTATAAATCTTACCTCTAATAACACATTTAAATCATGTTTCTCTAAATATGAACGCGTTAATGCTCTACCGTCAAAATCAACTTCAGCCTGAAATAGAAATAAAATATAATATGTAAACAGTGGGGCACCGTGTACCGGAAACTTCTTTCCGTCCATTTCCACCTAAATTAATTTAAAAAAATTAGATTCTAATTCTCATCTCAATATTGAGGAAGAACCATAATTATTACAATTCTATAGAAGCGCGTTGACAGATAGTGAAAGTTTGGTTGAGCCAGTTTCTGATGGAATGTGTTTTGTAATTTTTGAAACAAGTAATTTCGATTTTATAGCCATAAGTCGCACCCCAATAACCCCCTATTAGCTATACGATATTGTCAAAACCTACGAAAAATGTTAACTCAAAAAACTATTTCGGACCATATTTAGAAACTAACATTAGTCTACAAATATCGCATCCATTAGTTAAGTAAAATTTGCATGATTAAGTCAACATATTATGTACTTCTTTGTTTGCTTGGAACATAAATGAACCCATCTTGTAGGTGGTGAAAATAGGTTGTCTACAGAAATAGCGAAGAAAAAAACATATTATGGGCTTGGGCTACTAATCCCCTCCATTTCTACGCCAAGCCAGAGCCTGGATGAAAAACAATGTTGTGTTTAAGATAGATCGAAGATGTCTAAGGACCAATAAACTATGATGAGCTTTTAAGCTCAACCTTAACAAAACTCTAAAGAAAAGATTTGCAATGTTCAATAGAAAACACATTATACTTCATTATATTAATGTTAGATTGTTAGACCGCTGGGTAATTCTGTCATATTCCACATGTTCCCCTCAAATAATCTCTTGTTTCACACCTTGCAATTTTTTAAAAGAAATAAATACCAGATGCGAGCTTCATACTATTTGAATTCTGCCCTCTAATAAGGCAGCCTAAGAAAGCACTAAAAATGGTATTTGCAAATTACTATCATGATGGCAAGTATTATTTTATTTCACACTAAACAAAAATATCCTGCAAAATAAGGGTCATCCCACACTATAACATTCCGGCACCGGACCTATACCAGATCAGCACCGACTCAACTCTCGCCGTCAACGAGTCGCCAGCTCGGCGTCAATCAGGCCACCATTTTTCTGCGAGGCGTCAGCAAGTGGACAGCTCGCGGTCAACGCTCCGACCGCGGGGCTAGAGTTAATAACAGGCTACTGGAATCGGATAAACTAGTGTCGCTTTTGAAATGTCTCACTTCACATTCCGTGACCTGACGACGAATAAAAGCGAGTGGCAATAGCGCGGGCCCCGCAATGTGCACTATATTTACTTTAATTCAAAATATGTACCTTACTTTCACAATTGAAAGCTCACTTTTCAAACCACCACTTTTCAAAGTTTCAGCTTAAGGTGAAGTGGTGCCGGTCCAGTACTGGGCGCTGTAGTGTACTGCTGACATTGATCTTGATTAGGTCGACAAACGTCCGTAAAGGGCTTAAACGAACGTTTGTCAACTAAATTGACGATATATTGAAGATGGGCCAAGTTCAGAGTCTCCTTATCCATCCAAAATGTATGTATAGGTATGTGAAACAAGCGAGAGATGTCTACTAGGAGCGTGATAAATGGAATTTCGTAGTCCCTGCCTACTCCAGCAATCCCTCATACATATAGTACTAATGATACTTCTGATTAACATTAATTCTCGGATTCCAATTTGGTTCCGATCGGATGCAGTGCGCAAACATTCTTAATAGTCGAAGTGGAGTGCCGCATCTAAACGGCAACTTTAATAATATTAATTTTAATAATTAACAATAACATATATCTATCACTACTAACATTGTTCCATTATGTTCTAGAAGAAAACTATTAATATTTTTAATTGCCTCAAATGCCAGTTTCTTCGTACTAACATGACATAATATATAAAAACAACTTACTTTGTATCTTATGAGATTACTTCCTATATCTATGCCCTTGACGTCATGGATCGCTCGAATCATGAAATCTCTCTCCAAAACACTATTTATTTCGTCTAGTTGCTCTTGTGGAATGGACCTAAAGAAAAAAATAATGTATTTATGTAGGTATTATTTGGTATTTATAGTTGTATGCATTAATATGATTATGATCTGAATTATTGGTAGGCATGAAACAAACGAAAGTCGATTGGATTGTATGGTAATTTGAAGATAAGCAAATTCCAACGAAATGTAGAAGCACGAGTCTTATTATATACAATTGTTATTGGGT